TCGGTGTTAGAAGCTTTTTCATAGATGTAGAGATTCTATGATCTATTAGAAAAAATTCTAACTTTTGGGATATTCAATCTATCCATGGATTGTATTTTTCAAGCCATGAGAGTCCTAAAATGACTAGACTTAATAATGATCTAATGACGTTGAATACTACTTGGTTGCTATGGTTATCAAAGATTATTTCTAATGGGATCATTTCATGAGTGACATCTTTAGAAGATAAAGGTCGACCATCTATTACTTCTATATATACAACTTTGGATTTTTTGACCTTAAAAATTTTGTATGATCTAAAAAATTCTTTGTCAATAAAACATGCATATGCTCCCGAGTCAAGTAATATATGACACTCTAGTTTTGTGACTCCTAATCCTATAGACATACTAAAACAATGGGAAGGGCTAGCAAAGAGTACATGATCTTTTTTGATTTGTAATAGTGAAGAATCCAGTTGCACAGTCCCTATTGTGGCTGGATGACCTCGTTTTCTTGCAATGCTTTTAATGATGTGGCTGCACTCCTCATTTGATATGTATGCCAACATTTCTCTAAACAATTATTAACCTTATGGCCAAATTTTTTGCAATATAAGCATAGGGCAAGTTCCTTTCAACGTTTTTTTATCTTGCTTAGAAAGAAGTTTGAAGTGAACTGTATCAATCTGCATGTCTTTTGCTTCTAAATGCTCATTAAAATTGGATGGTGAAGAAGCTGTAGAATAATTGGTGTATACATGTGGCATAGTTGAAGAACATTTAACTTGTCATCGTTGAAATAAAAGGTTATTATACTTTATAGCTTGATTAATGGCTTCATTGAGTATTAGAGGATCTAGCATAGACAACAATAAGTCCTTGACATCATCTCTTAATCTCCAATGAAATTGGCTCATCAATGCATCTTTGCTCTAATTTATATCACATGCTAATTATCAAAAATCTGAGGCATACGTTGATAAATAATATATTGCTTGTCGAAGGCTTTGAACTTTATTTGTTGAAGAATGAATCTTATCATATTTACCAAATGCTATCAAAAATACTTAAAAATTGTGCAATATAAGAGAATTATTTTCAAATAATAGAGCAAATCAAGATAAAACTTGACCTAATAGGAAGGTTCCAACCAAACCAATAGAAGATGCTTCAGTGGAATATCGTTGAGATTGAAGCAAGGTGATTAGTCGTACTTAATTTATAAATCCATGAAATTTTGAACGGGTGCCATCAAACTTTTCTAAAAGGCTGATCTTTGGTTCTTTTACTATTATTATTATCTGATCATTGTCTTGAGTAGATACACCTTCCATATTTGAAGTAGACATAGTTGTTTGAGAATTTGGAACCTCTATTGTGATTTGATGTGGTAGTTGAGACGCTTTGGCTCTTTGACCATTATGTATGGTCATATATAATTCTTCATTCTACTTTCACAAAGTCTTTGTCCTGATCCTCAATGCTTCAAAAATATTAATAATAGAATCTAACTTAATCTCTTTAGAGTATGTCATATTGACTTTTCTACCTTCTATCATAGAAAATTAGAGAAACACACGCCTTCAAAGAAAAAAAATCTGATCTATAGTGTAAAAAAAAGAAACCAAAAGAATATTAAAAAAAAGAACAATATTAGTATAAGGGAGGGTAATCTGCAACCTCTAGAATACTATAGTACTTTCAATAAGAGAGGTAATCCACTCTTTATCAAGAAAGACAAAGCTTCTAATATTGTCTTATGGTAGTCTTGACATACTGTTAGTGACCATATATAAGACAAGGATTCAATATCAAGAATTGGAGTTAGCTTGAGATTAGAACAACAATTGGATACAATGCAAGAAGGTCTTGACTAAACCACAAAAAGTGAGTTGTCGAGAATGAGGATCTCCTCAACTTCTATATCTATATATACTAGATCCTAGGAAGCTTCTTGAGAACTTTCTATGAAGCTTAGAAATAAAATAAGCCTAAGATCCTTCTTTGGCAATTTCCTAAATCATCCAAAGCCTCTTAAAATCTTCTAGGATTTCCTATGACCTTCTAGAACTTTCTTAGAATCTACTAGAACCTTTTGGAACCTTTTAGAACCTTCTAGAACCTTCTAGAACCTTCTAGAACCTTCTAGAGCTTTCTTAGATCTTATTAGAATCTTTTAGAATCTTCTAGAACCTTCTTTAGTTGTATGTCTATAACACTTATGAAGAAAAAGGGATAATCTATTCTTAATCAAGAGAAGCCAAAGCTCTAATATTATAAGTGTACTATTATCAATTTGTTAAGAATAAGAATTGAAAGAAAATACATAAACTTATGAAATTTGTGTAAAAAAAAAAAAAAGTGATAAAATAAAATTAAAGAAGTATGTATATTACAAAGAAATTGGAATGGCTATTGCCAAAAGACAAAAAAATAGAAATTCTTTAATTTAGACTAGAAACAAAAAAGAAATTGATAAGAGTGAAGAAGGCTTCACTCTTGCCTATATATATTATATATCTTGGATCTATGTAGCAATGTTCTATAAGACCTCCAAAAACATGTTGACTTTATATGACATGTATCTTGACTTGCAAAGCAATTTTTCCATATTGATGCCACATAGTTAGCTTATTTCCTAAGCTACCAACACATATAACAAGTGGTTAACTTATTGACCAAGTTTGTAACCTATCAATCAACTACAAATACATATATAGTCAAAACAGCATCTATGAAGCTTCTAAGAAGTTTTTCTAAAAAATGTTATGAAATAAATTTACTTTTATTTACTTCTATTTAATCATATAGATAAATATTAGAATAAATATGTATATCCATAACAACATGTTAGTCAATTAAGTAAAAAAATTGATTATTTTATTATATATATATATATATATATTAATCCTATAAAAAAAGATATGAAAATAAGTATAAGGTAGAAAAAAGTTCCATTAAATTGACTCACTTAAAAACTAAGCTTTCTATTAAGATATTATATTATTGGTAGTAATTTGATGAATTAAAAGATATTTATAGGGCTTAATATTGAACCACATATATTCTTGAGAATTCAACTCTAAAGAATTAAATGCCATTATTACATATTTAATTCAATCTAAATAAATTTATCACTTATAGTATAAGTTGTAATTTTGATAAGATTACTAAAGTAGTGTGTGATTTGGCAATTGAAATATTAATGTCAATTTTAGTATATTAGTCATTTCAATATTAATCCATTTTTTATGCAATATTTGTCTTATTATTATTTTTTATTTTTTAAAATAAATTACATCTAAATTATTGAACTATCACTATAATTTCCTATTTGAACTTTTTTATCTTTAAAATAATACAGAACTTGCATAATTTTAAAAACTCTTTCTGTATGACATATCAAAAATTTAATACAAACATCTATAAATCATAAAATCAAGGTTAAAAATATTATAAGTAATATATTTAATTTAAATAAGACTATCATCAACTTCAAAATTTAACTTTAAATTACATTGAAACTTGATTTTGTTACAAAATTTACAACTTACACTATTATTATGCTTCATACCTTTTGCTTTCAATTTTTACAAAGAAAAGGTTTATAAATGAAATTCTAAAACCTCCTTTTAAGTTGAAAAGTTATAGATTATAATTACAAAATTCATTTTGAATTCCTAAAAATGATATCACTTCACATGAATTTTTTAGAAAAAAATCATTAACTACATATTAAATAACAAATAGGTATGCAACATGTTTTCATAAATTAAGTTTCAAAGAATTTCTCTCTCCATAGCAACAAAAGTTCTAAGCTCCAAGTTCCAACATATTTCACAAATAATTTTGGTAGCAATCAAAGACATAATATTTTTAAAATATATTATTAAATCCAAAAAAAATAAAATAAAATAAAACTTATTGAATAAGTTAAAAAAAATTCAAAAAAACTTAAAACAATCAACAATAATAATTTATATATATATATATATATATATATATATATATATTCTAAATAAAAAAATAAGAAGATTGTGAAATATTTTTATTACACCAAAATAATATAAATATTTATAATATTCTCAATACCAAAGCCATTATGTACTAATAAAACAAAAGAAAAATTTAAGTTACAAAGAAACAAGAATAGTCACCACAAGGGTCAAGTGACCTAAACTTGTGTGTTGTTGATATAGAGGGTCCCATTGATGGCAAGCAAAATTAAACACAAAGGAGAAGAGAGATAACATAGAGTAGAATATAGAATATAGTATAGAATACAGTAGAGTAGAGAATAGAAAGTGCAACAATAGATCCACAATGACATTGTGCTAGATGAGAGGATTGTAATTCCTCCTTGCGTAGAGTTAGAATTGAACAAAGGCAAGAAAGTGTACACTATGCAAATAAATAAATAACTAGTGGAAATCCACATCATTGGTACGTACCTAGAATAAAGCAAAGGTAGCATGGATCATGAATTCAATACCCAACTATGTGTTGATGGAGCCTCTCTACACACTTAGTTACACAATCTTGATTAATACATGTCCTAGAGGGTCTTTCTTGGATAAAGATGACATCTAAGGTTACAAATCACACAAAGACAAACTCTTAAGAGAACAAATCTATTGTGAGGAAAATGATGACTTTCTCAATGAACAAAGAACAAAGTTAGCACAAAGAACAAAGCTAGCATTCAAAAATTTGGTAAAGTTGTGATTAGGTGTTAGGCATATACCATTGTTCCAAGTAATGAGAGGTGGAACAATTGTTCTGTCAAGGCCACATAACTCAACTTTTGCTTCACTTTTGATGATGAAAACAATGAGATATGCAACTATTCACAGATCAAATTTGTCTCATCTTGTTTATCCTCTGACATGTTTTACATAAGAGATGTGGAGAAAAAGAAGGGTTACATATGAAGGAGGAAGGGAGGAGGGCTGTGTGTCTTGATTGATTGATTCCAGGCCCTCCTTCGGGACTCCCACTCCCAGCTCCCAGCTCCCGCTCCTGTTGCTTGCTTGCATGCTTCAGGGAGCACGCGGCGGTGTGTGTGTGCGCGCGCAATTTTAGACCCCACCTCCAGGAGTGAGTATTTCGGGAGACAGATGGGATTTAATATCACCATATACTGCGGCACATATCTATCTCAACATCTATCAATCCAGGAAAATGCGTTGTCTCGAAACAACCTCGCCGCGTCCGCTGGGGTCGACTGCGACAACGCCAAAGTCAAAGCCATAATAGGGCGACACCGCGTGTTTATTTTGGATGCATCATCTCCCTGGCTTGGCCTTGGGATTGTTTTTACCTTGATCGGGCAGCAGCTTCAGCGTCAAGCTTCATGCTGCAAATTGTCTGACGGACGCTTTAGCATAGCCTGGAACTTGAGTGCTGCTTTCCTCAATCAATCTTCATGGTGACGGTTTGAGCCAAGTGTGACCCACATTCAGGTGCTTGGCTTTTAATGCGAGCAGTCATGGCATAAGCTTTGAGGTGTTCGGGAGAGAGAGAGCAAGAGAGAGGTGTGAGAGAGGAGGGTAGTACACAGCGACCCACTTGACTGTCTCTTCAAGTATTCTTTTCCACCTTACCCTCGAAAATCCGGTTTGTGGGGTTTTTTATTTTTTATTTTATTTTAATGTTAATATACGACTTGAATACTCTGAATTTGCTTGTTTGAAAGCAAGTGAAATTCTGAAGAGTGTGCAAGCGTGAGAAGTGAAGGATACTGGCAGTACAGATCGATACCCAGCGATATTTGCCCATCTCCGGTTCCAGGTGGTATGGTTTTTTTGCCCCTTGTGCTGATGCATGATCGATGCGCATGAAAATTCATGTACTGGTTGGTTTCTTTCTTTTTTCGCAAGCCTGTATTGGAAAGATTTGTGAATGTAGCTGAAAGTGTCAAGATTGGTGCATTCTCCTTTCTTTATGTTGGTTCGGTAACTTGGGTTGGCGCGTTTTGTCCGCCGTAGGTTACGATCGAGTTTAGACTCATTAGAATGAACCTATGATGGTGAACGGTGAACACTCTGTTTCTTTGTTCTGGAGAGAAACTCGTGGGTTTCTGGTCTCAATCTACACGCATTTGCATCTTTTAAAGAGTAATAATGAGGGGATGATAAATGAAGGAGCACCAACCCAATTGGCTTAAATAGAAAATGCAAGTAACGTCTGTTTTCAAGTCGTTTATCGATCATTTGCATTCTGCCGATGCTTAAACGTTCTTACACTAGCGGATGTAGATTTCCTCTGAAAATCCCGAAAGATGGATAGAATGTTTGTAGCACCATCAAAGATTCAGAAGCTCATCCTGAACGTCGTGAATCCGACAACAGGTACCTTGAAAAAGAGGTTTGTTGGAAAATAATCCAGCGTCGTTTTGAATGTCAGATGCTTTCCAGTAAACTCCATATTTCTTATGGCTTGAATCTTTGAAACAGATTCAAACAGTCATGTCTGGAAAATTGACTGTGAGTAAGCTTCGTGATGAGCTCGAGAAGCGAGGCTTGGACTCGACCGGGTTGAAGCCCGCTCTGGTAAACTATGTTTTCGAAGTTCATTCTCAGCTTTTACATGAAGCTCAACACAAGGAGTAATACCTTTTGTTTTTTATAATTAGAATTAACTTAAATTAATAAACACTATTATCTTTATATTTACAGCAAACGTTCCAACATTATATTTCAGAAACTACATTGTAATTTTTTTTTAAATCGTACACATTATCGTAGCGATTCTTCTTAGAGATTGTACACATTTGTCTAGCTAGTAGACAGTATGCAGTACAAAAAATCGAGAATCGGTGTTAAGAGGGAAACAGACATTTCAAGGTCTTAGTCAGATGTATGTATTGGTAGGTTTCTCGATTGGATGATGCAATTGCGGAGGAAGCAGCTGAAGCATCTAAAAAAGGGAATAATCTGAAGGATGACGAGAAACAAGATGGTAAGAAGCGACCTTCACGTGCTCTTCCTGATAAGGAAGAAACCAAGGATGCTAAACGTGTTAAGGTGGAAGATGTAAGTGAATTGACTGTAACAGAACTGAAAGAGGCTCTTTCCAGCAGAGGCTTGTCCATTTCTGGTAAGAAGCATGAGTTAGCTGAGCGGTTGACTGAGACTGTCGAAGCCGAGGCTAAAGTTGCTTCTGAGGATGGCAAAATGGTGGTTGACAAGAATTCTGGAGGGGACCAAGTCAAAGTGGAAGACGTAAGTAACATGAGTGTCAAAGAAATCAAAGAAGAGCTCTCCGCCAGACTCTTATCTGTAAAAGGTGCTAAGGCTGAGCTTGTTCAACGGCTGACCGATGCTTTAGAAGCGGATAAAAATGCTATCAAGGAGGAAGATATCAGTGGTATGAGTTTAAAAGAACTCAGAGAAGCTCTCACCACCAGATGCTTGTCTGCAATTGGGAAAAAAAGTGAGCTGGTCGAGCGGCTTACCGAAGCTGTGAAAGCTAAGGATGCTCCAGCTAACAAGGGTGAGAGGTTCTTGCTGAATAGCTGTTGCTCTTTAGAGTTGGAATTTATGTGTCTTATGATGGGAATTTAATAACTCCATCTTTTTTCGGCTTCCGGTTGAACTCATAAGACCAGTTCCCATCTCTACATGTACGAAGTCGATACCCTCAATATCTGATTTTTAGAGTTTTATTTTGGATGACAAGATATCCACTAACCATTGACATCTGTGCAAGGGATCTGACCGCCTTAAACTCATTGTATTTATCTTCTGATGCATCCACATGTTTGCAGATGCAACAGTTGTGGTTGTGAAGAAAGGGCGTGCTGTACTTGATCAGTATATTGATGATAAAATCAAAGCGAATCATCATGTTTATGAGGGCAAGATGAACGGGGTAAGCTGTTTCTCTTTATTGCCTCTTTATGTGCAGTATTGTGTTGAAGGAAGAGAAACGGGTAGATACATTGGACCAGATATGTTACAGGATTATGCAGTTTGTTTGAGAGGATTTGGCTTTAGGACACTCTATTAGCCTTTTTCTAGTTTATGATTCAAACAATTATAGTAGCGATGACCAATCATTATGTGAGTGCAGAAAATGGAAGTTTTTGATGCTATGCTTAATCAAACCAATCTGGGGGATAACAACAACAAATTCTATGTGCTTCAGCTTCTTGGTAAGCACTGGGCGTTTCTGTCCTGAATTATTTGTAGTATGTAATCTATGTACTGATAATTAACTATGGAGGCAATTGTGCCGACCAACTGTTTGAAATATTGCTTGTGAATGCTGTGTTGTATTTACGAATACTGTGTTACAGAGGCGGATTCTGGAAAGAACTACTACGTCTTTAACCGGTGGGGGAGAGTTGGCGTGAAAGGACAGCAAAAACTCTTTGGCCCGTGGCCAGATGCTCTTCCAGCTATTGGTGAGTTCAAACTTAAATTTTATGATAAGACCAGGAATCATTGGGAGGAACGCCACAATTTCCAAACCCATGCAAATAAGTATACTTGGATTGAGATGGACTACGAGGATGACTCTGACAAAAAGTCTGCGGTATGTAATCAAACATTGACTAATACTATTGATTCAGTGGTGAATTTTAGTTAATTTTATTTCTGAACTGAGCACTTTTTCGACTTCATAAAGTATTCTCATGTTTTCATTCCTGAACAGGAGGATGACAAACAAGGGAAATCTGCTTCTAAGAAATCTGAGACTGATAAATCTGAGACGAAAAAGCCAGATCCAAACAAACCAAGCAAGCTCAATCCTCGATTGAAAGAGTTTATTGAACTCATTTGCAATGTGAACATGATGAAGCAGATGATGATGGAAATCGGTGAGTGTTTCCACTTCGTTAGTTACCAATGTAATCCTGCGAATCGTCTTGGAAGGAAAGCACATTTTCCTTTTTATGTCCTGCTCGAACGTTAGAATACCGTACTTTTCCATCTAACTAGTGGACTTTGCTCTTTTGAAGTTGCTTCTATTAATGAACATATTCCTGAAAAATGTAAGAAATATATACATTCCGAGTTCGCATGATAATGATGAATTCATGTTTTAGCGAATAGAGGATAGGGTACTGAATCCTAATGAGGTCTGTCTTCTTGCTCAGGTTATGATGCACGGAAGATGCCACTTGGAAAGTTAAGCAAGTCTACAATTTTGAAGGTGAGCTATTCGTTCAGCTCATTGTACAAACTAGAGTGTCATGAAGATCAGTAATAGCGCTAAGTTGTCGCGTTGAATCTGGTGTCACAAAACATTTTTGGTTACCATCTTTTCTAAGAGAAGATGTGTTAGTTCGTTTTAAATTCTCAATTTTGAGACGACATTCATTACTGTGTTGTTGATCAGGGATATGAAGTTCTGAAGAGATTAGCTGCTGCTTTGGATGATAAATCATCCTCTGCAAGGCGGAGTATTCAAGAATTAACCAGGTTCTCATTCACTTGTCTTGTGATACAAAGCACCATGTCCTCTTGTGTGTTACATGACATTGGTTAGATCTTACGAGTATTTTTCACAAGTTTTCGTTGTCATGAATCCACACTTTCAGCAATTGTGTTGCAGAGCGTATATGCTGTTCCTGATTACATTCTCTATGATGTGGCAGTGAGTTTTATACAGTGATTCCTCATGACTTCGGCTTTAAGCATATGCGTAAGTACTCAACCTACACTTCAACACAGATATACAAGCTAAAAGCAATTGCTCATTCTTGCTTTCACAGAAGGTCTTTTGACAAAAAAATTCACCTGGTTGTTATGTGGTCACCAGAAAATTTTATTATCGACACTCCGCAGAAGCTTAAACACAAGCTTGAGATGGTACCATTGTCCTATACGCTCTCATCCATTGCAGATGGTTGCATGATATTCTCCAGCCTGAAATATAGCTTAATTCAATATTTTACAAGTATTGGTTCTAGGTGTGGTTGCACTTTCGGCTATGGATATTATGGATGATCGTCACGGCTTTAAGAAGTGCGTTGCACCCGATCCGTGCATTGGATTGTAGGTGGAAGCATTGGGTGAAATTGAGGTGGCCACAAAGCTTTTGAGTAACGACAATGACGAGGACGACGTGTGTACACAACTCATGTTTTTTCTTGAATAATCCTTCGTACATGGTGTTATATTAATTTCTAAGATCTTTAATCTTGTCTGCCGGAAATATCTCAATGAAGTTGTGCTTCTTTTACGTGAAGTCTAACCTTGGTGTGATTATGTCGAAATCAGGACCCGGCGTACACTCATTACAAGCGCCTAAATTGTGAGATGGAGCCCTTGGACACGACGTCTGACGAATATGCATTGGTAACTTGATAGAAACTTTTGCGCTCTTGTTCTGGTTTTGTGGTTAGAACTTGGGTGTTGCAAGAACTCTTGGAGAGCTTTAATGGCTTTGAGGATTACTTCGAGTCTGTGCTCAATCACAGTTTGGAGTGTTCGCTTTGATTCTGATATGCGCTTCTTCGTGCAGGTTAAGCAGTACATGGAGAAGACGCATGGGCAAACGCATTATGGTTACAAGCTGGAGCTCTTGAACGTTTTTAAATTGCAGAGAGAGGGCGAGAATGACCGCTTCCAGAATGTACGTTATCTTATTTATGGATAGCTTCAGGTTTTCTTTCTGTTTAGTCTCTAACCTATGAACTTCCTTGGCGTTATGATTGTGAAAATTTTCATTACAATTTTTACCGATAAGGTTCTGTTCTCACCAAATTTAATTTCCAGAAAGTATATTCAATTTAACGTTGTTCTGGATGGAGATTTCAACCATTATGGTTGTTGTTCAAAATCATTACTCTTTTTCAGCACGTTAATGTAAGGTTTTCTTGTCTCACTGTGCTTTCTATTTATTTCGACCAGTTCGAGAAGGATCCAAATCGCATGTTGCTATGGCATGGGTCACGACTGAGTAACTGGACGGGCATTCTGTCACAAGGTTTGTTCTCGTTATTTATTTGCACTTTTCACTCGCAAGGGCCTTAGTTCAGATCCTCTTTAACACGGGTGCCATGTATCCATATTGAATGTCTGAACCATGCAAGTTTTTGAAGCTTTTGGTTTGCATTCGGAGTGATTCAATGGGTAAATCACTTCACTTCTTAGATAGGTCAGTCATTCTCTGATGGAACTTCAAAAACAAGGCAAGTGTGAATCGTTTAGAGATGTTGTGATTGTGTGGTATGTTCACAATTTCTTTATACTTCATCTGCAGGACTGCGGATAGCGCCTCCAGAAGCCCCTGTCACTGGGTACATGTTCGGCAAAGGAGTTTATTTTGCTGACATGGTCTCTAAAAGTGCTAACTATTGTTGCACTCATGCGAATGATCCAATTGGTGTGCTCCTCCTGTCGGAGGTACGAAGTCTAAATCATCATTACACATATACATTTCTGTATGTTGGCAGGGGTGATAGCTATTCAGTACTGTTACAAACTCAATGTGGCATTCTTGGTGATAGAAGCCTATTTCATATTCTCAAATATTGGAAACCTCCAGGCCTGGTACACTCGAGACATGGATGAAGGTTGTCCTGCTGCTTGTTTTTCAATTCAATTATAATGGTAACGGATATCATGTACTGTACAACTTCTTTCATAGGTGGCTTTAGGCGGCATGAACGAGCTTCTCCGTTCAGATTATCATGCGAACAAATTGCCAGCTGGAAAGCTCAGGTATTTTTTTTGTGTGCATCACTCTTTTGTATTAGCCGCGAGGATCCCTCATCCCTAACTTTGTGTAGTCCTGATTGCATTTACGCCTGTTTATTTTCAATTGTGTACTCAATTTTCTCACCTTCGGTATTTGCAGTACTAAGGGCGTTGGCAGAACGTTTCCTGATCCGAAAGAATATAAGACCCTCGAAAATGGAGTGGTTGTGCCTGTGGGACAACCCATTTCGAGTCCTCTGTCGATGGTATGATCCCATCCTTCTCATTTATCTTACCAAGCGAGTTTTAGAACCCGTTGTTTTGCCCTTTCATACTACTCACTATGTAAGTTACAAACGCACTCCGAATTTCTTAGGAATTGAATGTGGATGTGATAATCTAGATTTGCAACTGTTACGGCACCTTGCACTTACTAGGAATAAGCCATCTCCGCACCTCTAAACTAATCATGTGGGTTTCTTCTTTAACCTTTCAGGGATGCTTAGAATACAATGAGTACATCGTGTACGACGTGTCCCAGATTCGTATGCGCTACCTTTTACAAGTGAAGTTTAATTATAGATATGGTCACTGATAGAAGACAAGGATGATAGCGGTTATGTAGTCATTGCAGTTTAACAGCTAAGGTTATTAAATTCTTACCTGTTTTGTATTTTTTGGACATGTAAGAAAATGCCCCTGTTTCGGGTAGAAATGGTCAAAGAGAACCAGGTTTTCACTCTCATGTTCGATTATTGTTATCAAGCATATAAGTGCATCCTGGTACAATATTCGTGAGCTACAGGTTAGTGTTTTTGCAGGTTATAGAATTAAGTCTTCAAGTCACTGTACATTTAAGAGAATATTTTAATGCGATATTTATAAGAACCCGTCATACGTTTGAAATGTCTTAGTGAATTTATACTAAACATGGGAATGAATTATTCTTTTGAAAATTTCAAACATTTCAGTTTGCAAGATACAGTATGATGAAATTATGTTGAATGAGCTTTCAAAGCCATACATGTAATGCAACACAATATATGTAATTAAATTTTCTGTGTTCAATTTTTTATCACACATATATATATGTATATATATATATATATATATATTCTCAGATCAATTCTTCGAATAATGTGTGTTACGCATTAGCATCCGTAGACATATATAAATTACATCGTAGATTTGTTAATTGCGTATTCGGTGCCCAATGAAATTTCGTGTTAAGAAACCGATTTCTAAATGTACGAGAATCATCTGGTGCAATATCTAATAATCGGGAAAGATTGTTCATTCTTCTATCTTCCTGGACCTCCTGGAGTAAATTGATCTGTCTTGCTTCTATGGTTGCATGACTAGGCCAAAATCCTCAGATGCCCAAATTTGTGGTAATTGATGTATCATTGCAGTCATAATTGAGTAGTTGAAGTATGCCCTTCAATTTCAAGCGGAATGTCAACATTTCGACTGTTCACATTACTTCACATACAGGGTGCACTGAGATTATGAGCTTCTCTGGCACGTTTGTACTTTGATACGTGATGGGCAGCAAAATGGCTTCGCAATTCGCATTCGTTGAATGATTTAGGAGGTCACAATCTTCATTTTTTGTAATATAAGTTGCAGAGTAAAGTTTTAGCCAGTCCACTTGGATTGCAGGAACGTACAATCAGTAGTTGTTCAAATTTCAAGGTCCCCATTGTTTGAACTTATTCGGATACATGGATCTTTGTGGATGTCACTATATTTTTAGGTTCTTTTCAAATCCTTAGACCTACGTCGTAACTCATTGTTGCTGTACAAATTGCGGTATTCAGACAGGTGTATTTCATTAATATTGCATTGCACTCCCACTAGATTTTGAACATAAAATCCTTTACACAGAGGAGATTACAACAAGGTTTACCCCATCACTTCAGAAATTAGATCTAGATCTGAGCAAATGTGTTACGGTAGCTAACTTACACAGAAGAGATCGCAATTCGCGTCATCTACCACCCTCAGATACCGAAAAACAGCAATTTTTCCGGAGAACCTCTGTCGAAAGATGGTGATTGTTTGAACATCACAGTAATCAGGTGTTTTCGGATTTTCATTGCATCACTGGTTCTCAAAACGGCCTCCCAAGTACTGGCACTGCAAATCAGAGAATTAAAGAGTCAATCCTCATTTAGCTGTGGTGCTCGTATAGGACTGGGGCGACAATTCTCCCTCATCACATTCGACAATGCGAGACGCATGAGTAATCCCGACTTATCTGCACGTTCTACCCCTCACGGCAAGTGTACAAAAAGTGAGATGTTTCATTGTAACTATAACAATGCAACAGTTACACTGATAGATACTACGGGAACAGAGCATCAGAGGTGGATCAGACTGACGTGCAAATCATGATTCGCTAACCCACATGATGTATCACGGAGGATACGTTCGGGAGGGGCGAATATCTGTCATCACTTCCATTCCGAGAACAGCTGAATTGCCATATCTGACTTTTGTCATGCCTATTAATGGCTGTTTTAGTGATACTTGAAAACGTGCGGAGAGGTGTTGAGAGCGGTAACCCGGATGCACATCTGTTTATAATCATATGCATGTGTCGAAATGAATGTCTTATAACATCCTCCATGCAAGCTCATGGCAATGGGGTATTCATCTCTACGATTCTTGAAAGCTAATAAGATCTGTTCAGGAATGTTAATGTTGCCGATGGACTCAGGACAGATCGCTGTTCATGGCAACTAGAAACGTTTATCCGCATGTTTTAGTCAAGTTTGCGGATAACTACAGTTGAATGATGGTGATTGTTTGAACCTCACGGAAATCAGATGTTTCGGATTTTTACTGCAACAGTGATTCTCAAAATAGTCGTCAAAATATCAACGCTTCGAATCAAAGAAGTAGAGAATCAATCCTCATGGAGCTTTAATGATCGGATAGGGTTCCTCCTCAGAAATCTACATCTCCCTGAATTAATGGTTGGCGTATATCTCAATGGTTCTGAAAAGTAATGTACATCTATACAGAAAGATCTGAGTTGACCGATGCTCGTGCCAACTACCAGCTCTGTTGCGGCTGTAAGCCACGTTTACGGAGAACCTCAGTCGAAAGATGGTGATTGTTTGGACATCACGGAAATCAGATGTTTTCGGATTTTATTGCATCACTGGTTCTCGAAACATTCGCTAAGGATCATCACTTCGAATCAGAGAAATAAAGAGTCAATCCTCAGGGAGCTTTAAAGCTCGCATAGGACTGGGGCGACAATTCTTCCTCATCACATTCGACAATGCGATACCTGTGAGACAAAATAACCCCTCACGGCATGCGTTCAGCAGGAAAGAAATTTAGTAGCTTCCATCGGGCTATCACTATTCAGTGATGAACTACATCACAGCGCGACAAAGAAGGATCAGACTGACGTGCAACTCATGTTTCGCAAACCCACATGATGTATCACAGAGGATACATTCGGGAATGGCGAATACTTGTCATCATTTCCCATTCAATACAAGTCGCTTCCAGGAGAATAATGATACCCCAACATAGTTACCCAGCTACCTAGACTAAAAACGTTATGAACAACCAGGACCACGACAACTCCTCAACACAGGAGAAGAATCAGTACAACAAAAGCCTGAGCAACAATAGCCTGAGCAACAAGTGCACGCGAGTCAAGGCCTGGAGCAAACACAGAACCCTCGACTTCACAGGCACACACGGAAGAAGGTTCTCCGGAAAGGTAAGTAGGGGTTGAGGGGAAGCCAGCAATAAGTAGGGGCACAGCGAGCGCCGTGTGAAGAAATTAAAGGTGCATCCGTTGGTGAAACGGAGAATATTTAGGGTTTGTGCGAACGAGGAGACCTAATCGGATGCAAGAGGGTTAAGGTTTCCGTGTAGTGAATTCAACAATGTATTCGGATTTGTAGAACCCTACGAGAAATTATTCCTGCTGTTTGTACAGGTGTGAATGTTGTGAACGTTAATGCTTAGCTTGTGCCAACCTTGTGTTCTTCTTCAATATCTGGGTTTTAGAACTTAAATATGCATTATGAAACAGCGAAAAAAAAAAAAAAAAAAAAAGAAAAAAGAAAGGTTGTATTCTAATTCTTCCTGAACTGCATTTAAAAAGAAACTTAACAATAAGACTGCACATAACAGGTGTCTCAAGCATTGGGACCAAAAAGAAGATGAACTAAATTATAGAGCTAAATTAACGTGAGCAACTTTCATGAAGTAACACTTGTTTCAGCTTATTTTATAAGTAATGATGAAAATTGGATTCTATCATTTTTTTTCCTCTCTTGATCCTTGTGTTCTTTTAAGTCCATGTGTATTTGAATAAATTCAGCATACAGTATTTTACTATTTTAGTGCTTTTTTTTCAATGTTTATTTATTTATTTTTGCAAGTACAATTTTAAGCATTCAGAAAGTTAATCGTAATTCTTGGTATTTGACAATGTTTCCAACATTAAAAATATATTTCAAGTCTTTATATTTTGGAGTTAAAAAAAAAAAATACTTTGATAAAAAAAAATCCAGTATTTTTTTAGGTCGTGAGTGTTCTATCATTAATTTATTTTTAAGAGATTACATTTTAGTTTTGAAATATTTTAACAATCCACTTTATGCTGTTTATCTTAGACTATCATATTCTTTGTCTAATTTCTTGTAGCAAAAAATAATAAAAGTCTAAAAAATTATCTGAAATAACTTCTTTAAAATATATTTTCATGTGTGTCTTGATTTTAATGTAAATATAGATTAAGCCATTGCTAAAGTTGGTTCTCATTGTATTGATTATGATTAAGTAAAAAAAGAAGAAGAACTTACAATCTTGATCAAAATATGTGTGTGTATATGTTAATATATATATATATATATATATATATATATATCTTTACACATACACATACATAATGTATTGAGACGTTCTGATACAAGCCCCGATACTTCATGTTTTTTAATATAAAAAAATAATTTTACAGTGAACATCCTAATGATTATTGCAATTTTAAAATATAGAGAAAAATTAAAAGATTCTTCTTATCACTTTTTCATCACCATGTCTTGAAAAAATAGATTGTTTACATAACCTTATTTTATATATATATATATATGTATTTTTTTTGAGACATTTATGTTTCTGTTGCATATTAAGTAATAATATCATATTTAGTACAACAAAGAGAAATCAATTCAGTTCTTGCTCCAGCTATTCTTTTGATTTGAATCTTTCTACTTCTGTTTACTTTTCTTCACTGTTGGCAATATATTCTTGTCTATGTTTGTTCTACGTATTTGTTTTATTCAGACAGGTGGGATGCTCATTTTTAATTTATTTTATTTATTTATTTGAATATTTTGACAGGATCTTTCTTGGATGGTGGCACATTCTGTGCTAGTGTACCTCAAACATGATGCTCATAGCCGCTAACATAGGATCAATTAGAATCCAACTTTATGGAGTTTAGTTTTTTAATTTAAATTTTGTTTTCTCTTCTGTATTTATGGATTACTACACTAATGCTAACATGAAGTTAATGGCTGATTCATTCTTTCAAAGACATTCATGATATACAGTCATATGATGTTTATATGCTGGTGGTTCCACTCGGCTAAGATTGGTGAGTCTCCATGTGGTCAAAATTAGAAATATGATTAATCCAAAGTATGTTTTCTTAAAGCTTCTAACAAACCAACATGGTTAAACTAATTGCACAATTTTAGTTGCTGGGGTTTTGGAATCCTTAGTTTACAACAATGAGTGGTGGTTATTACAATAGTTTGCAACCACTTAGTGACCTTCCTTGATCCAACTCTACATGTCTGAATCAGCTTATGAAGAAGGCCAAACAGTTGATATGTGGTAGTATCTCTAGATTTATGGATCAGATTATGCAAATGAAATGTTTGTGCCAAAACTGTAAATATGTTGGCAATGCTAGACTAGATGTTTTGTGCACCTCCACTTGTATTGTGAACTGCTATTTCTCGCAATTTGGTTTTAAATATTTCAGATGAGAATCAACATATTAACACAAGAGATAAAATGTTTGTTATTTTGCATCATATACTTCGATACTAAATCCCTAAATGACAATTAAAAGCTTGAGTAGCACTATGTGCATATATACAATAAGATGCATGCACATGAATCAAACTATTTGACATATATATATATATATATATATATTCTCAGTAAATTGAACCATTATATATGAAAAACTATGCATTGTTAAATGAAAGGCTCAAGCTATATGCACATTTCGAGTTCTTACATGCACACCTTAAATTCTTATACATACATCCAAAAATAAATAAATAGAAGTCTCTAATTGACTAGTTATTATTATGTTGAGTGTCACAATTGCTATTACTAGGATTAGAGAGGTGGTAGTCTTGTTGATTAACCAATGGATATGATCAAGGTATATGATCAAGAAGAAATAACTTCAACTTTATCTCATCGTGACACTTGATCCTTTTTGCCACTTGTTGTCGTGTCTTCGTTTGGCTATTATATAAAAATAATATACATAAATATTTAATATATAATTTACTATATAATGTGATAAGAGCATGTCACGGACATACTCATAATTACATATACAAATATGTAGAAGTAATTAAAAGTAAGTAAAAATAAGTTAATTCTATAGTATTTGATATAGAAGCTTCTTAGAAGCTTCATAGATGCTGCTTTGACTTCATAGATGTCTTTAATTGACTTTTTGGATTAGAAACGTGGTCAACAAGTTGGCCATGTGCCACACATGTTGTTAGCTTGAAGACCAAACTAATTATGTGGCCCACACGTAGAAAAACTTGCCTAGTAAGTCAAGGCATGTGTCCTACAAAGTTAACACATATTGGAGGTTCTATAGAATGTCGCTCATAGCTTCTAGTTAGATAGTATATATAGAGACAAGAGTGAAGCTTTCTTCACTCTTGTCAACTCCTTTCTTGCTTCAAGTCTAGTTTCAAGGGTCTCTAGTTTTCTTTTCTTTTAGCAATAGCCATTTCAGTTTCTCTTTCAATATACATACTTGTTTATTTATATTTTGTTACCTTTCTTTGAGTGAAGGCTTACTTGTCCGAATTACTTTTTCATCGAGTTCTTGTCCTTGACAAATTGAGAAGAGTACACATACAATATCAGAGTTTTGTCTAATCTTGATTAAGAGTGGATTACCTCCTTTTCTTGATAAGATATAAGCATATTAGAAATTACGGATTACCCTCTTCTGAACTGATATTGTCCTTAATATTTTCTTTTTTCTCAAGTCCTCTCTTCTATTTGTCTTGAGCGATATTAGACATCTTCTCTTTTCTAAGTGTTATCATGGCAGAACTTCTTGAAATCAAGAGTGCAATGGCACAAATGCATGAACAATTGAGAGAGTTAATGCTTGCGATGCATCAATTCAATTTACCACCACAAGGAGCAACAAGATTGGCAGGAAGTGAAGATATAGAAATGGTTGGAGCTGCTTCAATATCTACACTAAATCATGTCCTTTCTCCTATAGTGGAACACCCTTTCAGTGTTAGAGAACCAAGTATTGCCCTACTTAAGAAATTTGATGGCACCAGATCCAAGTCTCGAAGATTTATCAATCAAACAAAACTTATGATTGAACTTCAACCACAAAGCTATCCAACTCTAAGATCGCAAGTTAGATTTATTAGTACGCTTCTTTCAGGTTTAGCACTATCATGGTTTTCATCTTTTCTTGAACGACAAGATTCAATATTGGATAATCTAGAGGCTTTTCTAGTGGATTTTTGATCCATGTATGGAGAACATGATGCAATTCATGTTGCAACCAATAAGATTCATATTTTACGACAAGTCAATCGATCAGTAATGTTATATGCTTCACAATTTTGACAACTTGCAACTGATATCAAGTGGGATGATGTTGCACTTATTAGCCAATTTTTTTATGAATTATAATATGAGGTAAAAAAATTAATACTCAACTTATCTGATCCTCAAACATTGAGTCAAGCAATTAACTTTGTTGTAAAGAGCGACAATCACTCTTTTGAATTTCGATCTGAGAACCGTACAAGTGGACTTCAACGTTACTATAATTCAATGGCAACACCAACACCTCTTCAACACATACATTCAGAAGTACAGGATATGCAAATTGATGTAGTACGTTTCAAACCTCATATTGAGCAAGAAAAGACTCGTCGTCATCAAGAAGGATTATGTTTATATTGTGGAGAACCAAAAGACACTGCTCAATATTATCCAAAGAAACAACGCAACCACAAAATGAGGAGTATGGCTGTCAAAGAAGACAATATGTCAGAAAACGAGTTTGTCTAGCTATAATAGGGACAGTGCGGCTAGAACCTTGCACAACATCTAGTAGAGGTCCTATTCTCTCCTCAGAGCCCTCTCCTTGTTTTACATTAAATATTATTTTAGGACCTAAACATTACAAAGCTTTTGCCTTCTTAGATTCAAGAGCCTCAACGTGTTTCTTAGATGAAGAATTTACCAAAAGACATAGCATATCTTTAACAAAGAAAACTAAACCTGTTCATGTAAAAGTCATAAATGGTCGTCCATTATCTTCTAGAGATATTACTCATAAAACCCTTCCTATAGAAGTAATAATCAATGGTCATAATAGTTTTGTAGTATTTAATATCATTAGATCTCCCTCTAATCCAGTCATTTTAGGTTTATCGTGGTTAGAAAAATACAACCGTCAAATAGATTGGATTTCTCGAATTCTTACTTTCTCTAAAAGTATAACTAAAAGTATAA